ATTACGGATTATTTGGTAAAGGAATGTACCTAGGAAATATTGTCTTCTGAAGGAGAAGAGCCACCCTAACTCGGCGTAGTAGTGAGATACACGAGAACGTCTCGGGGTTCCATTACGAAATACGAAAAGAAAAAAATATTGTCAAAAACCAAATGAAAACGACTTTTATGGAAGATATAGATTAAAATGTCTCAGAAACTAAAAATCGGACCTACATACTATAAGCGAGGGAAATTTTCAGCATTTCATCCGCTTTATTACCATCTATTATTTATAATTTATATTTAATATTATTAATCTGGCCTAGTTGATGTTTTCACTTCTATCGTATGGTCTAAAGCACACACCTTAGTTTTTTTGTTGGCTTTTTGGTTATATTTGCCAAAAGGAAAATATTAGATCTCTTGTTATACCTTTGGTTTTGTAATAGATTTTAAATATAGTTTTCATTTTTTTTTTCGACAGATTCCCAGATTAGATTATTTGAGGCCGTTTTGGTGGTTTTTAACTCTGACATAATTCCCCGTCCTCTTCCATGGGCCGGGACAACCACGTACAGCCTAATTCGCCTTCTCGAAATTCACTTTCTTCAGCATTTTTTTTTGTGTAAATAAAAGAAAATTTTGTTTCAATCGTTTATCTCGACAGATTCGGAGAATACTCCTCCCTCCACACCCACCCCGCACCACTTTAAAATATTTATTGAATTGTCCATTAATTATTGCAGGTTTATAAATTCAAAATAAAATAAATGACACAATGCATTTCCTGAGTAGAAACCCGCCCTTCTGTTTACCTAGACAACATACCGACCTCAAAATCAGAAATTCTTATTTAGAAAAAGAAAACAAAAAATACTAAGGTGTTTGCTTCGGACCACATGATGGAAGTGAAAACATCAACAAGGCGAGATTAATAATATGAAATCATAAATAATATGAAATCATAAACTTTTGCATCGGTTAAAGTATGCAGGTTTGATATTTAATTTTCGAGATATTTTAATCCATATGCAAAAACACTTCATTAGTCGACCCATTATTTACCCGAGCGTTACACATCGGAGATCTGACGGCTCAATCTAATTCACTCCACATAAAAAAAAAGAAATGCATATCACACCTAAAGAGGTTTTCATTTAAAAAAAAAAAAAACTAAAGTATGCTAGGTAAGTCAGAATACCTTTCTTTTCATTTCTATTGTGTGAATAAAAGAAAGAAAGAAATGTTATTTTATTCGCCTATATTGAAAGTTCGAAAAATACATGTTCCCTCTATCAAAAATATGCTGGGTTTTAGCCATATCTTGTATATGTGTGTTAGTATGTCCATGTAAGACATCGTGAAATATTTTGTCGTGTGTCGAGATATGGCCGTTTACTGTTTAAAGGTCATTATGTAAAGAAGTATGATTGTGACTTATTACTATTGTTTTAGTTATAATTATAAATGTTTTTAACTAAAACGTTTCTAGTTTTTGTATTTGAATCTTTTTAGCTGTTCCGTTCATCTGTGAAGCCTAGATCATTATAGGCAGGCTTATACAGATAAATGGAAGCGTTAAATTTCTGTTTTACAGTTAATTTTGGAGCCTCTTGAAAGAAATGAGCATAACACTCTTAATCTGAGGTTTAATTTTTTGGGTTTTTTGATATGTGGGCCCCATTTCATTCTTCTGTCCAAGATATTGTACTTTATCTGTTTGAGAAATTTGCCCATTGTTAATATAAATGGGAGGGAATGTTTTTCATAAATAAATAAAATAGTTTTCTATAAATAATCATGTAAAGTAAAGATTGTGACGCAATATCATTGTTTGAACTGTTATGATATGACATATATATATATATATATATATATATATATATATATATATATATATATATATATAATTTTTTTTTCAAATCAATAGTTTTTATTATAAACTCAGAATTTTGTTTTATTTTCAATAATTTTACTATATAATAAAATAAATTATATTATTTCACCATTGTACTAATTTTGATTTCATTGTTTTCCATAATTAAGTATGTTTTTGAAGCATAAATGTTGGAATAATTGTTTACATATAATATAGCGTATTAATTAATGTCCCTAAATTATTTTCAGAACCTCTTCCTATATGTCAATAAAAAAAAAAAAATTGTCATTTTTATACTTCGAATTAACTATTTTATAATGACCTTAACATTCCCAGTATCTACCCGAAAATAGATATCCTTTCCTTTCACTGTAAACTTTATACTTCGTGAAACCCTAGAGCCACAGCAACCTTGCCTTCCTAACATTTTCTAATAATCCTTTGTCTTAAATAAAAATAGACCAACTAATATATATATATATATAAAAGTTATCTAGTATATCAGGTCCTTTAAAAAAAAGTATATATATATATATATATATATATATATATATATAGCTTTAAGGAGTAATCCACTGGATTAATGTTAGGGTCCTTTGGAATGGTTTAATGCAATTTAGACAATTAGTAATACATTTTATTTATTTAAAAAATTAATGATATTCATTGCGGACTCAAATTATTACTTTGATGATGATTTGAGGGAGATAGTAGCGTGAACAATATCAAGAGCTCAGATGTGTGTACTGAATAAATATCGGAATAATAGATTAATATTTATTTGGAAATAGTATATAATTTCACGATAAGAATATATCATTAGTTTATAGTTTATATCGATATAGCGTTAGATTTCAGATGTTGAAATGTTGAATAAATATCAAGTTTTAGCATTCAATTAAAAAATAAACTCTGCATACGTTTTATTTTTTATTTTAAAAATCCATTTAAATATTAATGAAAGAACTATGTCAGGGTCACATACGTTCTTTCTCAACCATCTGAAACTTCTAGATTTTTGTTTGTAATGATTTTATTATGAAATAATAAAAAATGTGTGATATTCCAAAGTCAAGATGTTGATAGAAATTATTTTGTTTTTATTACAAAATATATGTAAAGGTAGAAGTTTATTTATTTATATTTTAAAAAAATATAGAAATTAAGGATTAATTTAATTAACATATTATTTTTTTATTATAGGTATATTTATTCAATATTAACACAATCTGCCACATTCGAGGGCAATAAACAATAGAGCTGAAAGTATTCACTCGTACAATATATATTATATATACATACAAGAAAAATAAATTAAAATAATTAAATAAAAAAATAAAATAAATAAAAAATCAAAATAGTTAATAAATAAATAAAATTCTTCTAAAGCTTATTCACACCTATATGCAATATTTACATTTGTCCAAGAGACCCTCAGGCAGGCTGTGGAAAGCAAAGCTTGGCTCCAGGAGGTCTCAGCGCTTCTCTTCCAACCGCGTCACTTGACTGGCGGCCAGTGGAGATTGAGAGTGAGCATTTGAGCCACAAACATGTGAGCATTCAGTGGAGCAGCTGGCCATTGCCAGAACTCCATTATCATATTTACTAAAGGTCTCGAGACCACTGCCGTTTCAACCTCCTGAGAGGATTATAGGGATGGTTGAAAGTAGAGGATTAGAATGGTGAATAAGGTTTCGGGTAAACTTTGTAAATCGGGATGGGATGATGTCGACGACATATGGGATATTAAGGCCATTGTGTAGGGTCTTGTTTGGGACATAATAAGGCGTCCCCCACATTTCAAGTCAGTAGGCCCAGATAGGTTTCAGTACATTCTTGTAGATTAATAGTTTGCTTTCGATTGAAAGATGAGATGGCCTGTTTAGTAATCTTTATAACTGGGCAATCCGGACATTTGCTAAGCTGGGAAGTGGAATAGAGGTACATAAGAGAGTGGTGAAGGTGACATGTTTACATTTTTATTCATTAACTTTAATGCGACAATTGTTACACGACTGCTCTATCAAGGACAGGTGTCTTTGTAGATTGGGGGATACGATTTCGGGATCTGTGTAGGAGGACAGGATGGCGGAATATTTAGAATTAATATAAATATTATTGGATAATGAATCGAAGCACTTATTATTTTATAAGTATAACATTTTTTATACTCTAGTTAATGATAAACGAACCATGATCATAAATAAGTGAAATATAGTTTTAACAAAAAATATATAAATATTACAAATAATTCCACGCTTTTCAAAAACATTTCGGTAAAAATTGGATGATTTAATTTGTAAATGTTTTATATTATTTCAAAAAGAATATTAAAAAGTACGTTATAAAACATTAGAGTTTGATATTAGGGGATTAATAATTAGTAACTAAGTTTAATTTGATAAATCCAAACTTTTCAAAATTACCGGTAAGTCTTTTGAAATATTGTATGAATAGCGTGTATTTTTTTTTACATTACTATTAAGGCAAGATAATGCTAAGCTATTAATTTAAAATATTGAAGAAATAAAAATAAACTTTTTTTAATACTGTCCTCTCCAGTTAAAGTTACACAGCAGTATTCGTTTGTTAGGATAATGGATAATTTTGACAACATATAAATACAAAGTTGTTAGTGGGAGAGAGAGAGAGGGATGCGTTCAATATTTAATTATTGTATATACTATGTCATATACTAGTATTTTTTATTTATGGTATAATACTGTATATTGACGGCATCCCACGATCAATCGGAATCGGAGTTAAAAACTTTTAAATGGTAGAGTGTAAAAGTATGGAATGATGAGGGGAGGGGGGTTGAAAATCACCAAAAACTAAGAGTTAATTTTTTATGCTATAGTGTAAATGTCAATGATATAAGGGATTGATAAGCAAATAACACCTTTCGCAAGAAAATATCAATTATGTAAAATTTGTTTCGCTACGCCTTCGCCCAGTCGTGTCTTCAGATCTAATATTTAATGCATTTGAATTTAGAAATGCGGTAGAAGATGATTTAACAATCGAGACGTATCCTTGAACCTGATCCGACAGGAGATTGTTAATTAATGCGAACCAGTTGTTTAAATAATTGCATTGGTCTAACAGCTGCAGTCTGATGCGGCTGATGCTCTCCTACGATGCAGCTCAAGACAGGAAGTCCTCTGAGACACTTCGCTCATCTAGGAGGCCTTGGGCTGTTTCCGGGCTCATTCGGTTGTAGGCGCCATTTGAATTTGAAATTAGCTCCAATTCGAAGGCCTAGAAACCTCGATCCAATCCACAATCTGTTGCTCTAATTGATTGTATTTTCTTTTGCGCAATCAAATCACTACGTGCAGTGCCCGTAGATGTAATGAATAATAACCAACTTGGAAAATGAATCATTGCACAATTTCTCTTTAATGAATGTAAGACAGAGAAAACACTAGTGAATGGAACAGTAACTTTAATAAACTGTAGGGTCATTTTATGTGAAATGTCAGTTTTCACCGGAAGTTTATTTAAAGGTTAATGAAATCAAAATATTGTAAAGCTAAATATTTATCCAATGTGTTAACAACTTTTCATTCCCAGAAATTGAAAAAAAAATAGTTATAAAAAAGGTGTTTCATAAAGAAATTAAGTCAGAAGAAAGAAAATGCGTTTTTGACTTGAGATTCATTTAAAAAACAAATTTAAGAAAGTTGTCCAAATCTCTTAACATATGGTAATCCGTTGAAGATAAGTCTGGCGGATAAGGTGGGTGTAGTAGGAAATGTTTAGTTTCATGACGGTCTGTCGTGAAAGATGAGTCCATTTTCAACAATTATAGAAACGCATAATCAAATAGTAAGGATTTTTTTTTTTGCTTAGTTCAGTTCAGCGAATAGGGCCTGAAACAGATTTTGCGAACTTAAACAAGTTTTGTGGTGACTAAAAATAACTTAGTTGGCTCTAAACTAAACAAGCAAACGGGTCGACATTTTCCTGTTTAAGCAAAGTGAAATTGAATATTTAGAAAAAAGGTTGAGAAATAATAAAAATGCTATATATTTATAATATAAAATATTTTAGGACATGACTTAGATTATTTAATATTTACTTTTAATGGTAATATTTCCTAACAAATTTACACTTTTACAGTTAAAATATTTTTAAGGAATATGCTTTTATATGTTTCTCTTATTTCATTATTATTAAAACTTAATATACACTATTAACTATTATTTATTATCTATTTTAAACTATATTATTATTGCTAACTATTAAAAATATTTACTTTAAAAACTAATAGTTATGTTTCTTTTACTTTTATTACCTCGAATTTACGCCGCTTGCGTTTTGCTAATCTGGTGGTATATCTTGAGAATTTTTAATGGACCTATTCAAAACACGTATGTATTTTAACTATGGCTGGTATTAGTTTATAATTGAAGGATTCCAAACAACTCAGACTTGTGTCTCTGAAATGCAGGTAAAGAATAAAATAACCCATTAACTTTTGATTAACCCCATTAAATCGTTAATTCTGGCACCACATCACTTCTTGACATCCAATTGTATACTGGAAGGGTGGGTGAGGTAACACAACAGAGGAATGTTATAATCAAACAGCTGATAAAAAAAAAAAAAAAAAAAAAATTGAAAATATTTTAACTGCCAACTAAAATATATAAATATGCCACAAAAATACAAATAAAAAAAGTAAAAAAAATAATAATGATTACAAGAGAAAAAAAAAATTCGCATCAAAGGAAGTCTATCATTAAAAAAGAAAATTAGCTAGTTTTATTTGACTTATTTAAAATACAGCTAATTGCGTATTTTAATTTTTTCTACATGATCAGCTGTTTTTGATAAAAATCTTTTCTTATTATTATTTGAATTTTCATATTTATGAATTTTGGTTGGTAGTAACATATTTCTCATCTTTTGTTTCTGATCGGGTGTTTGATTATTAACTTCTTCATCATTCTTTTAGTATGCAATTGGAAGTTTTGGAGTGATGTGATCTTGAGATCTTTTTCTTTTCTCTCCATATGAAGCCTTAATTGGTGAAACGTTGGAAGGTTATTGCCCTGCATTTCAGGTACATAAAGATGCGACGTTGGAATTTTCTAATTATAATCTTACATGGATTTTCTGTCTCTTGGAGAGCTTTTACTCATTTACATTAACATGCATAGTATAGAAAATAAAATTACTAATATATAATATCATGTTTTAAGCTTTATAATTATATAACGAGTATATGTTTGTAATTCTGTATGAATGTAAGGTAAACAAAATTAATGTGATTCTCATTCTAATTGTTTATTAATTGAGTATAAAAATAGTATGTGTAATCTGTTTTCTTGATTCGATATAGAATTTAAAAATATTTCTCTCTAAAAAACGCTGTATTTATTGTTTTTGTAAGGATTTAAAAAATGTTACAAGATTAAGTGCCCGAGGGGTAGAGATAAAGTTGGTATATAGGAGTAAAGAAAACGCTTGCATTGGGACGCAACCGATTTCAGCTAAGCCTTCTTATCTTATTTACATCTGGTAAATAAATAAAAGATATATTGTCTGAAGTGTATGATTTGTTTCCTCGAAGGGCGTTTAGACATTTCACAAACTGCATCCAACCTTTGTAGTCCAAAGTCCTTCAAACAATAGTCGAAGCTCCTTTTTATGTAACAAACAAAACAAAACAAACCTCAACATTCCAGTTGTCCTAGAATTTATCCCAGAAAAAATCTCCGAATTCCACCAGAACCTTGATCATGATACAAATCCTCTCTTGCACATGCACCACTCATCCCTATAACTTTGCAAGAAGGTTAAAACGGCAGTGGACCCGCCACCTTTTGTAGCTTATATGAATTGGAGTTCTGACAACGTTGAGATTCTTCATTCAAGTCATCAGTGTAAGTGGTTAAAGCGCTCTCAATCAATCTCCACTGGTTTAATACCTGTGAAGCGGTTGAGAGAGTAGCGTATGGATCTCTTGGATTAGGAGGGATAAGCCTGAGTTCCCTAACCTGATTGTAAATAGTGTATACAGGTTTAAAAGGCCATACGGTAAAAATGAACTAAGGACCTCAAAACAAGGTAAAAAATCCTTTGAAATTATATCCGCAAACGGTTTGTTTCGGAGATATTCACACTTAAAGATTTTCGTTGTTATGAATTATTTAACTTTATAATACTTGATTATTACTGTTTATTACTATTTTATTGTTTTAGTTATTTTGCTTTTATGTATTATATATTTTTTGTACATATAGTGACATCTGGACGTGATCTTACTTCCCTATAACCAATGTCCATGTGACAGATTATTATTCAATATATTATTCAATAAATACTTTATTTTTTTTTAAATCGTTCATATTTTCCATCTTCTGTCAAGATCAGATATCAAGAGAAATTAAATAAATAGTTTGTGAAATTAATTTCTTCAAATATGATATCTAAATAACTCCTTTTTTTATGTCGATGCACTTTTCTGTATGGTGATTTCCTTATTGCTTGCAGAAGAAGAGAATGTGCTTCTCAGTGTCCTTTTACCAAGACATTTTGTCACAAGGAGGAGGTTCAAGGACTTGGAGGCCGATGGAATTAGCTTTGTCCTTTTCTTAGTCAGTTTCCTCATCGCTATTGTCCTAGGATTGGCCAAATTTTATTTCCATTTTGCAATTTTTTTCAGTTCCTTACATCACCTTATATTTTCGGATGTCCAAATATTAAAATAACTTATCATGTCTTGTTTTATTGTAAAGTTATATGCCATTATGTATTATTCGATACATATTGGTTATTTATTTTTAAGTCTGTAACAAATACAAAAATGGTTACGTTAAGTTACGAGTTGCCATAGGCAATCAACAACTTGATTATTACGCCCTTGAGCTAACTCATCTTTCTGAATGCAAAAAAAAAGTTTCTTTTTATGTATTTCTTTAATTGTTATATTCTATGGTACAACTGTGTTTGTTTTAAAAGTTTTATAGTGTTTTTTATTGAATTTACTGCTTCTTTTAATGCAATTTCTTTACAAGGGGTATTTAGTTTTTTACAAAGGCTTATTGTAGTAATAAACAATCTTCTATTATATACTTTGTGGTTAGCGGGGACTGGCAGGTATCGCTATATGGTTGGGCTTCTTTTGTTATTAAATGGACATGAGTCAGGTTACTATGACCAATTCTCATCCTTGTCGCAATCACTTCTGGTTTTATTTAAATAATTAATTTAATATTGGATTTTAATTTAACGAACCATTCATATTTTCTTTCTCTGGAATATATACCATAAATCTTCAGAAACAGATTTATGTTTTATTAATTTTACATTTCTATATGCTCTGGATACTTAGCAACATATTTATTTAATTTTATTTTTTTTTATATAGAAACAGCAATGTAAATTTTTAATAAATTAACAATTCATTGTAATTTCCAGTCTGTATTTACATAACCGTGTTTTCCTTTTCTTTTAATTGATATATTTGATATTTCCTTTTATTTATTTTTTTTTCATTTTCATCTTGAGATCTCAGAAAATGATAGACAATTTGTGATTTAAAAAAAATTAATAGACAATATAGACGACTTCCAAGTGAGGAGGTAGACAGACATAGGTATGAAGATTATGTAAATTTCTTGACACAATTACTGGAGTTTTCAATGTATTAAAAATGATAATTAATATATATATATATATATATATAATCAATTTTTTTTTTTATTCCTTTTATAAATATGGTAGTAAGTACAGAAAACTTTTAGAAATGTACCATAAATAAAACATGGTACTGATTTTGGAGGATGACATTATACCGAATAACTAAAAGTTCTGATTTATAGCTAATAAATCAGATGCAGAAAATAAAGTTGTTCTTTAATTAACGCTTCTAGTTAATTTTCTTGTGAAATTTTCCATGATGTAGAATTTAATTTGCACTAATTTACAATGTGATGTAAAAAAATAACAAAATGGATTAAGAATGTGAAGTGGCCAGTGCGAGTTGATTAGACGCCCTTGAAATTCTTCACATCAAGCGATCGTACACTTTCCGTTCTAATGGACCTTGACAAATGCGGAAGAACATTTGCCCGTTTAAGCGAAATATTATGTATCATATTATAAATACAAATACAAATACTAAGCTTATCCTAATTCGAAGCAAAAAAAAAAAAAAAAAACAAGCTTCTTCTTCAATACCAATAATTACGAAACAAGTTAGTTTAAAAAACAACAAATATACTTGTACATTTTAAGGAATGTAATATCCTTCCCTCATACAGTAACCCTGTATGAAGGCCATGTATTGCTAATTTCACATGATCCATGTATGGCAATTATTATAAAAGTTAATTAAGAATTATATAATGTTAATTTTTATATAAACTTATATTTTTCCTAATTTTTTATTGTTTAATTGAGTATTAATACAGTCGGCCACACTGAAGGGCATTGGTACTAGGGCTATAGTATTCATTCGCACAATATGTACATAAGAAAGGAAAAAAAATATAAATAACCAAGTAAGAAAAACAAAACAAAACAACATATATATATATATATATATATATATATATATATATATATAATATATATATATATATATATAAATAAAAAGATAAAGTAATATACAAGATAACAAAGTAATATACAAGAAAATTTTTCCTAATTAACACTTGGAACGAAATAAAAATAGACAATACTTAAGTTTTGTCTGTGACGCCATTTTCAAGCTATCTGTAAGACCCAATTCACAATTAATTTCATACAAAACTACATTTAACACGCTATGATATTGTTGCTAGTCATATTTTAAATATCAAATTTGTATAAATCATAACCTTAATTGTCTTGAGTAAATATGCTAATTTACAAATCAATTTAAGTAAAACATGATAAAATAAATATATTCTATGAATAAAATTTCGTATATTAAGGCAACATCAATCTGAAACCAGTTCTTTGTGAATTTAAATATTTTTAGTCAATTTAATAATATTGCTTATTTATAGTCCATAATTGAATTATATTCTCTATGCAAGTGTGGCTGGGTGGTTATGGGCTATTTCTTAAACTATTAAATATATGGTATCATTAGAATCCCAATTTATTAATGATAGTTGCATATGTCTGTTTAGCACTTTTGTGTCTGCCTGAAAATTACTCAACGTGTCTAGATTTTTATTTGTATAAATTGATTATAATACTTCGTGTTTGTAGCTGTTTTTTTCACATGTTACTATATTATTATTATTGAAGCCAAAAATATGTTTCTGATGAGTACTGTATGTTGATTATAAAGATAATTTCAACTAAAAAAGAAAAATAAATGAAATTCTATAATATCTTTTCTTGAAAAGTTAAACAGAAAATCTTCTAGTTCTAAAATAGATGAAAAACTACCGACACTAAAATCTTGATGATACTTAAACATTTAAAAAAAAAATTTCCGTTTCAAGCTCTGGTATGTATTGTTATTATACTTACTATGTTTTATATTATATTCAATGTAACAGATCTTGCCAAATTTGATTTTTTTCCCCGTCTAATTCTATTACTTTTAAGGGATTTCGTTCCAATTTTTTTTTCTTTATCGAGATATATTACAAGCTCTCACATCTAAACGCATTAGTAATAGTGATAAAAGAGTATCTCATTCATACTATATCAAAATAAATAAACAGCAAAATAATTATACTAAAAGTAAATGTATATAAACTAAAAGAAACTAAGCTAATCAAAACAACTACTTAAATACACACATGCTTGCTCTAAAATAAAATTAGTTTTCTTATCTAATCTATAAATATAACTATTATAAGATTACAAAAAAAAATGTATTCAGGTTTTTTCTTTTAATTTTACCAATTTGAAAAGATTGAAATTATATTCAAAGCCATCTAGATTGCAGAGTCCAGTTAAATATCCGCTATGTCCTGCATCTACTTCCACTTCCTCCAGAAACAGGAGGTTGCCCCAGGATCCACATTTCGCCCGCTAACTGTCCCAAGAGGAAACGCGTGACAAGGCACATTCCGGAATATCCACGGCCCTATAAATATTTCAGAATATCCGCGGCCCTATAAATCGGGGGTTCCGTTATCGGCCACCAGAGCGCCCCGCAGCGCCCGGATCCTTCCTAGATCCAGAACTAGTTCTAGGGGTGGAGGCGCCTTCTTTCTTTTTTATATATCACAACCTTGGAGCGTTTTTCTTGTTTTTTCGATTCGGTTCTTTTCCTTTTCGCCATCTTCTCTTTGTCCCGTCAAGGATATTGGTAATTTCATCTTGCACAACCTTCGGGCCATGTATTCACTGCCTCTGTTCCATCTCCTTAGGCGTAATACTGAGGTCTTAGACAAAAGGGTTGGCAGGGAAAGTAAGCGTTGCAAATGCGTATCAATAAATAAAAATAAAATAAAATTAGATATTTATAATAACCACAGATTTAAAATATTCACACAAAACATCATTTAAAAAAAGTGTGATTTTAATAGAGAATAAAATAGAAGAGTAGTTGGTTGGGGTGTTCAGTCAAAAATACAAAGTAAAAATTAATGAATGATATTGATTTTTGCCGAAGTTTTGGTCCAAAGTTCAGGTCTTCATCAGAGCTAAAGAAAGACCAGATAATAATACGCATAATTAGTGTTGCCCAAAATTGATCGCGGTCTTGCCGACCAAGCTCAAGACCGCCTTACTGTTGCAAAACCAAGACCAAGACTGGTAAAAAAAAAAATTTTTTTTGTATAAAAGTTAAGGCAAAATAGTTACTAATACTTGAAAATTTAAGTTACTATATGTAAAGAATTGGTATAACAAATATACTTTTGCATTTAACTCTTTTAATTTTGTATTCGGGCTTTATATTTCTCCTATCCAAAAAATTATAGTAATATCTCTATATTAACAAGCTAATATGTAACTGCAAGAATGTTGCGAGACTCTTGCGCAAGACCAAGAGTCGTCTTGGTCTCGCATTTGCACAACACTACGCATGATATTAGCTATTACTATTTTTTAAATTTATTTATTTAGATATATAATATTCTGTCTCATGGAAAATAATTATAGTGATAAATGACCACATTCACACCATATATACAGAAAATATAAAATTAACAAAAGTTAAATAATAATAAAAAAACTATGTACAATAAAAAAAAAAATAACCTAAACATAATTAAATTAAAAATATAAAAACATAGTCATACCTATATACAATATATACAATCAGGCAGGGCATTAATATTAAAAAGGAAATAATAATATGTAGGTAAAAGGTATAGTCTAATAACATGTGGATAGAATAAACTTAACATTAATAAATAAGTGGAGAGGCATAAATATGAAATATAAAGGGATTATGTTTAGATTTCATACGTCTGTTTACAGATGTTTCCTTCGCTTTCTTTGTGTCATTAATTTATTGTTAAATTATTAATGTAAACGAAATAATTATCCAAACGAAATTTTAGTAGCCATGTGTTAGTGAACATCCAAAGTTGTGATTTTAATGGAAAAACCGCCTAAACAGTAAGATTTTATTTAATGAAGTTTAAACTTCAAATTCAGTTTTGAGAGAATAACTCATGTTAGATATATAAATATATATTTTTAAATATATATCTGACATATTTTAATACTAATCGGTATATTTTTTAACAAAAGGCAGTGTGGTTTCGATTTTGGCCAAAATAAAATTCGGAAATTATGCAAATAAGAAATCGTTTCGTAAATTCCCTATCCTTCTAATATTCAAAGAATCAAAAGAAATTACAAATTTCCAACATTCAATTTCCTTTTTTAATTCCGCTGCATTAGAACATACTTTAGTGAGGTTCTTTTTAGGTTTTTTTTTTTTATGGAACGTTGAGTCATTAATTTAGTAGAATAAATTGAAGCTTTTTTTTTATAAGACTATAAAACAGTAATTAGGTATTTCCTAATCAATACTCAAAACCCGATGTCAAGATCATTAAAGAACAATTAAATCTTTGTGGTTTATTACAAACATAAAGTAGTGTTTGACCTTTTGTCGGGGGTTGCCACATACTCGTTCAGTTTCAATAGCAATTAACACATTAATTAAATGTCCACTAATACGTATAATCTCTCTAGAGACTCTTTCTATCCTCTGTCCCGATTATTTCTGTATTTTTTGTGACGCAAAAAGCATAGATAGCTTGATAACGTTCGATAATAATATATGAAGCCAAAATGAATCGAATTTTACTTCATGCCTTAAAAAAATAAAGTAGGTTCTTGGAGATATAGTTCGTGGCACAGACCCCTCTTTATCAAATTATAAACATCTGTCTGAAACTTCGTAAATAACTTCATCTCACCGTAACCTATAAATATTTTAGTTACAAAAATTCTCAGATTGGGGCGTTTACAATCTGGAGGTCAAAAAACATTGTCTATTTAATTAGGAACTAAAAACTAATTGAAGTAATCATGAATTGGAAGATAACTTGAGCACAAACTTGAGAAAAAAGCTTTCAAAAATCCTGAGCCGTTTGTCGTGAATTACACTACCAAATTGTCTAAATAACGAGTTTGTATTGGCTAAACGGCCCAATATTTCTGTAGGCATCTTTTTTCTCGATTTTTTTATCAAGGTATCCTACGATCCAAGTGGAAAGCGAATGGTTATTTACGAGTTTTTAGTACCTAATTAAATATAAAAAGTTTGTCGATCTCCAGATTGAAAACTCTCCAATTCCGAGAGCCGAACTCCCAATAAAAACATGACAGATCTCAAGAAAAATGTATCCAAATTATAGAAAAGCTATTAAAATTTGAAAAAATGAATAGTTCTGTCTTTCTTAATTTCAAACATAGTGGAATCAGTGTAATAATAGATTCCAGGGATATAAATAACGAAAAATATAACGACCTATTTTGTCTCAAAATTTACATAAATACATCGAAGGCGTACATCGATATATAGAAAAAATATTTGATGGCTCGATTGCTAATGAGTAGGATTTCCTAATAAACAATTTAACTATTATTATTTTGTATTATTTTTTGGTGGGTTTGCTAAATATGGGTTTTCATGCTCAAATTTTAATATACAATTAATGATTGCAGAAAACATGTCTGGAGACTTCTCCTTAGAACGACGATGATTATAATTTATGGTATTTATTTCAAATCATTTTAAATTTGAATTCAGTGAAATCTAAAACAGATATATTATATTAACAGTTTTTTTCTTAATAAAACACAAAATTAACGTTAGTACAAACTGCAGTAAAATAATTTTCTAAACTCCCCGGATATGGTGGATTTATACTAAAAACTTTATATCTGAAGATAAGAAATACTATTTGATATCTGGGTGTTGGCACGCCTACACAATCACAGAAGGACTGCCCCTGGGTCTCTACAATTATTCACGAATTATCCCGAATATAGCAACAAGCCCACGCATGTTGGCCTGCAAATACTTCTAAATGTCAAATAGTCTACGATATCTTGCAGTTCCATCTGCAATATTTGACAATAATATCGACGAGTCAATATTGCTGTTCAATATTGATCCTTCAATAAGGAAGCTAGGTGAAGTCATCCCATCCACACCATCCCATCGCCAATCCTTTAGTTCATAGTCACATGCAATAAGTGTGTTTGCTCCAATTCCGATTTCCTTATTGTTTTTTTTTACAAGGTCCCTAATCCCAAGTTTTCATGATTCATTCTGTCATCATTGAAGGTATAAATGGAAGAACATGTAGTAACATGTTATTTATAATGAAATAACATTACATAAAAGTAAAATTATTTGTGAATGGATGTTCCCTATGTAATATTTATTGACTCATTTTTTACATTTGATATTGTTTTGGTGATTCATACCAAGTGCTTTTGAAAATTTGTGACCAATCCAAACCTCATAATGTTCAACATTGATTAAATTATTATTAAAAATTAAATGTGAAAAAATGCGTCAATAAATATTAAAAACAGGACATCCATTTACAAATAATAGGTTAGTTATTACTGAAGTGAATACGAAATTAAAATTTACATCATACTAATACCAAGCAAACACATTATAAATACACTTGTTTTATATATAGAATAGTATATATAGGATGTCCCGTAATCAGAAAGAAATTTTTATACGAGTGATAGCAGACCTTAATAACTGTAAAAAAGTTCATAAAAACAATGGGCCGATTTACAGAAGAAAAGTAGGGAATGCAAGTATGTATTTATGTAGGGAAGTCATAGTTTTTGTTTCTAAGGGATAATTTTAAAAAAACTTTAACTTAAAAAAATATTAATTACTTTACTGTAAACTAGACAAAATTTAATTTAAATGGTTGAGTTCTACCAATGGGTAGTTTCTCTTCATGTTGTACATGCCATGTTACAAATTTCTCATTTACTTATTGTATTCTCTATGTAATACAGTTGTAAATTCCATTGAAATAATAAAAAAAAAAAAAAAAAATTTAAATGGAAAAAGATATTGGTAAAACCATCTTAAGAGGACTCTTGAATTGCTAAAATAAGCTTATTTCAGTTTTTTCAAAATAATAAATTATTTGCATTTTTTTTTATCATTCTTTAATTATACTAGGTACAGATACCCCACTTTTAGAAAAACTTCCTCTTTTCATTTCAAGATTTTTTAGTTCATATAAATTAAGTTAAGGTAGATAACAAATTGCGATTCACCTTAGATTGTGCATAAAAAGATGTGATTTTATGTCCTATAATCTCAAAGTACCCATGTTTTCAGAATAAATGAATACAATGAATTTTCGTAAAGAATTTATTTATTTTTATTTTTATTATGTAGCATGTATAACAATAACTATAAATGAATAATAAACTGTTTATTTATAAAATAAAAAATAACAACGAGCTTTCGAATATTCATCATTTAAAGTGATAATGGAAATGTCTTTTTTACTAAGAACTCTATTAAAGGAATTGATTCGTATTTATAAATGTCAAAATGAATGTTTCTAAACCTTCATAAAACATAGTTGATTCGTTTAGTTCTTGATTGATTTTTTCGCGGTAAATTAATATGTATTAATTTAAAAAAAAAATATTAGTTATA